TAGACAGTTCCGAGATGGAACCTTTGCTAAATTAAGAGCTTGCCCCACCCTCCCTCCTTAATGGTGTAATAAGAACATAAGAACATAAGAAAATAAGGAGTCTGCAATTGGCCGGTTGGCCTGTGCATGGCAGCTCCTGTCGAGAGTTACTACCACTCTCTATCATCCATGAATCTATCTAGTCTCCTTTTGAAACTTTCCAGAGTTCCCGCACTTACTACAAAGTTGCTAAGCTTGTTCCACTCGTCCACCACCCTATTTGTGAACCAGTTTCTTCCTATCTCCCTCCTAAACCTAAACTTATCCAACTTGAATCCGTTGCTCCGAGTCCTATCCTGCTCGGATATTATAGGAACTTTATCTATATCCCCTTTATTGATTCCTTTCACCCACTTAATTACTTCTATCATATCTCCCCGCACTCTTCGTCTTTCTAGGGAATGCAAGTTAAGCTTCTTTAACCTATCCTGATATGGAAGGTTTCTAAGTCCCGGAATCATTTTTGTCATTCTTCGCTGCACCGACTCTAGTGAATTTATATCCATTCTATAATAGGGGCACCAGAACTGAACCGCATAATCGAGGTGCGGCCTAACTAGCGCAAGATATAGTAGCAATAAGACCTCTGCACTCGTGTTGCTTACACTTCTAGATATAAAACCCAATACTCTGTTTGCCTTATTTTGAACATTAACGCACTGTTTTCTAGGTCGTAGGTCCGGGTTTACAAGTACCCCTAGGTCTCTTTCACAAGTCGACTTCTCTAGGTTGATGTTGTTAAGGCTGTATACATATAAGTATTTGTTCTTCCAATATTAAGTACGCTGCACTTGCTGGTGTTGAATTTCATTTGCCATTTTTCAGACCACCCCTGCAGTTTATTTAGATCCTCCTGTAATGCATTTGCATCCTGCCCTGAATTAATTTGCCGCCCTATTTTGGTGTCATCCGCAAACTTGCTTATGTCACTGCTGATCCCAGTATCTAAATCGTTTATGTAGATTATGAACAAGAGTGGGCCTAGTACTGACCCCTGGGGAACCCCACTGGTTACACGGCCCCACTCAGATTTAACACCATCTACGCTGATCCTTTGCGTTCTATCGGTGAGCCATGATTTTATCCAATTTAAAACTTTCCCCTCGATACCATGAGCCTTAATTTTTCTCAGAAGCCTCTGATGCGGTACTCTGTCAAATGCTTTGCTAAAGTCTAAGTAAATAACATCGTAATTTTCGTCATTATCTACTACCTAGAAGACTTTCCTAAAAAACGTTAGCAGATTTGTTAGACAAGATTGTGCAAACAATGGTTGGGCATTCATTGATGACTGGCAACGATTTTATGGCAACGACTACCTGTAACTTCGCGACGGAGTACACTTGTCTCGTGAGGGGGTAAAGACATTGTCTGCATCCCTGGAGCGTGAAATTGTCACTCCGAAGGGGGGGTTTCGCCAGTAGAGAGGGGTCGGGGAAAATGGGAGTCAAAAAACAAGCAGGTCCTGGGAAGTAGTGAAACAGAAGTAGATAATGCTGAAAATATAGTTAGTCATAATAACAAACATCAAAGTGATAAATGTAAAACAGATAGAAACGGAAGAAATATATTGAGTGTTTATTATACTAATAGTAGAAGCCTGTGTAACAAAATGGACCAGCTCAGGGCCATTGTTAGTAAAGAGAACATAGATATAATTGCAATAACGGAAACATGGATAAATTCAAACAGCAAGCATTTTTTAGCAGAATTTCATATTCCAGGATATAACCTATTTAAATTTGACAGAGTAGGAAGGAGAGGTGGCGGTGTAGCAGTGTATATCAGGGTGTCATTAAAAAGCTGCAATAAATCAAACATTAAAACAAATAGCGACAATGAAAGTATTTGGGTAGAGATTGGTGAGGGCAGTGAATCCGTAGTCATTGGTGTTATATATAGACCACCTAATTTGAGTAGGAACGATGGTAAATTGCTATGGGAGGAAATAAAGAAGGCATCTGATAGAAACAATGTATGTATTCTAGGCGATTTCAACTTTTCAGGCATAGATTGGAAAAATCAACTTAGCGATAATGAATCTGAAGATTTTCTAGAAGTAGTACAAGATAGTTTTTTATATCAATTCATAAACTCGCCCACTAGAGGAAATAATATCCTCGATTTAGTTCTCAGTAATAATGAAAATCTAGTAAAAGATGTTGGGATTGGAGACGAACTAGGAAACAGTGATCATAAAGCCATATATTTTAACATAATATGGGATGGCAGGAAGAAGGAAAATTCGGCCTTGATCCCGGATTTTAGGAAGGCTAATTACGGTAGCTTAAGGAGAGACCTAAGGGATGACCCTATGGTCAAAAGATTAATCCCCCCCACACCTCTGGAAACTGTCAACTTAGGACGGGATAACCCCGAATTTAATTTAGCAGCTACTTATGAACAATTTATTGCGACAATCAATAATGCCCAAAATAAACACATCCCTAAAAGAAAATTCAGATCGATACGGAACCAACCAAAATGGATGAATAATAGACTCTTAGATCTTCTAGGGAAAAAGAAAGGAGTATATAGAAAAGTTAAGAAAGGCGAAAATCACTTACTTGGTTACTATCAGAACCTAACAAGACAGGTAAAAACAGAAATTAGGAAAGCAAAGAGAAATTATGAAATCAAGGTAGCAAACGAATCGAAAAATAACCCCAAAGCTTTTTATCAACTGTATAAATCAAAGGTTAGAGATACAATAGGTCCCCTTAAAACTATGACAGGAGAAATGACTGATGATGAGTTAGAAATGTGTAGTACGTTAAATAGTCATTTTCGCTCCGTATTCACAAATGAAAACCTAGCACAGTTTCCAGAAGTTCATAAGGTATATAACGACAGTATAGAAAATATGTTGATGAATATCAATATTACTAGTAACGATGTGCTTAAAGTAATTAACAAACTGAAGCCTCATAAATCGCCTGGTCCAGACGAGGTATATGCTAGAATATTAAAAGAATGTAGAGATGAGTTGAGTAATCCATTAGCAGTTTTATTTAATAAGTCATTAGAATCGGGCCTAGTGCCAGAAGCTTGGAAACTTGCAAATGTAGTTCCGATTTTCATAAAAGGGTGATAAATCAATAGCATCAAATTACCGTCCCATTAGTCTCACGTCAATCATAGGTAAGTTGCTAGAGTCAATTATTGCTACAAAAATCAGAAGCCACCTTGAAACATTCAACTTAATTCATTCTTCTCAGCACGGGTTCACCCAGGGACGTTCTTGTCTCACAAATTTGCTTAGCTTTTTCTCAGAAGTATATGAAGCTGTAGATAATGATAAGTCATATGATATAATTTATTTAGATTTCAGTAAAGCATTCGATAGAGTCCCTCATGAGAGATTGATAAGGAAGGTAGAAGCACATGGAATAGGTGGATCAGTATTAAAATAGATTAGGTCATGGTTAACTGGTAGGAAACAAAGAGTCAGCATAAATGGATTAAAGTCAGACTGGGGTGCGGTCAAAAGCGGAGTTCCCCAGGGATCTGTATTAGGCCCTCTGCTGTTTGTTATATTCATTAATGATCTTGATTTAGGCATAACTAGTAGGATTAGTAAATTTGCAGATGATACCAAAATGGGGAGTGATAAATTCAGACAGTGACTTTGAACACCTTCAAAGAGATCTAGATACCTTACATGAGTGGTCAGTAGACTGGCAAATGAATTTTAATACTGATAAATGCAAGGTACTACAGATAGGGAAGACGAATACAAACGTTAAGTATAAACTAGGTAACACGGAAATAGAAAACTCAGTTTGTGAAAAGATCTAGGTATTTGTTAGCAACGACTTGAAACCTAGAAACAATGTATTAGCGTTCGCAACAAGGCAAACAGGATTCTTGGGTTCATATCTAGGTCTGTGAGTAACAGAACTGCTGACGTTATCTTGAAACTTTACCTAGCATTAGTGAGGCCACACATGGATTATGCGGTTCAGTTCTGGTGTCCTTATTATAGAATGGACATAGATTCTTTGGAGAGAGTACAAAGAAGAATGACAAAAATGATCCATAATATTAGAAACCTTCCATATGAAGAAAGACTGAAAAGCTTAGGCTTACATTCATTAGAGAGGCGTAGAGTTAGGGGAGATATGATAAAGGTGTACAAGTGGGTAAGTGGGATTAACAAGGGTAAAATGGAAAATGTTCTGAAGCTCAGTAATAACGAAATAACTAGAACAAATGGCTTTAAATTCGATAAATTCCGATTCAGAAAGGATATAGGCAAGCACTGGTTTGGTAATAGAGTTGTGGATATGTGGAATAGGCTACCGAGTGCTATAGTAGGATCGGGGACGCTAGGGAGCTTCAAGACGAAGTTGGATAGGCACATGGAAGTGCTGGGATGGGTGTGAAATAGATATGCCCTGTATGGGCCAGTCGGCCTCCTGCAGTATCCCACTTTCTTATGTTCTTATGTTCTTATGTTCTTAAGATTTTCCCTTGTAATGTGGAACCAGTAAAGAGTATTGTGGATTTCTTGCTAAAACCGTTCTATATTAAATAATCCACAAATGTTGAAAACTGTCTTTTATCGTAGATGGAGGACACTCACTGCATACAGATATTAGGATGTATACCACTCTTATATTTTATTCACACTAAAATACTATTGTCCTTGGGTAACTGTGGCATTTGATGGCAACCATAACTTCATCTCTAACAAAAGCAGCTGGGAAAAAGTGAAGAGCTAAGAAAAGTATATCATCCTATTTTCATTCTTAGTTCAGAGACAGGTGAGAAATAATTGTAACCGAGATTCAAATATTTTATGAAATTAAATTAAATCTGATATAAAAGGAATTAACTTTTATCAAGAATATCAGTTAGAAGAAGAAATTATTTATGTTCGACTTTTTTCTTAATCTAATGATTTACAGTAGATTCTATGAGAATACAAATTACTAATGACCAACGGTGTACACACACAGGTGCATCAATTATTAGGATGATGAATCATTTCTTGACGGAATCAACGTTCAGAAGAGGTCTCACCAACTACCTCAGCAGCCTGTAAGTACAGTTTGTTTTTCAAGAAAGAAAACTCATTGTTTGTTTTTCATCATTATATAATTAATAATTAGTTGTAGTAAGGCAGGGTTCACATGGTAAGAGCTGTTCCTTAAACATTCCTCAGTCTTATAAATTGTGGCAATAAAAGCATATGCTTTTTTGCTGTATCAAGTCACATTCAGCGTGTTATTTGTGTGTGAGCAACAAATATTCTCTTCTTTAATAAGCATCTAGCATGGGAATAATTTGGTCACCTGGAGCTTTATATATTTCGTTGGAATTATGTGAGGAAATTGTTCCACAAAATCTCCTAACCAAGAAAAAATATTATGCAAAGGTCTTTTAAAGATCCTGAAAATTAGATCACATATTTTACATTATTTAAATGTAGTCTTCCAATACTATAGTTACCTGGTAAATACACAAACCAGAAAACAGAAATCCTGAAAATCAAAATTGAGAGTTATTAACATTTTTGAGTCTTTTCATATTTCTTACACATTCAAAAATAATAGTCAACCCACCTGTAAGGTAGACAAAGTCCACCTTAGAAGAGGTGGTAATGATATGATAATGTAAACCCCCTTATTTTGTAGTTTTCAGTGAAGTGGGCAGAATGATCAAGGTGAAAATTCTAAGCTGGATATATGTACAGTTTCTAAATTTGTCAAGGTGAAAATTGCATCAAAGGTAGTCAAGTTTAAAGAGTAAGAGCCTCTTGATAGACTGGTTTTGATTGCACGCTCTTGTTCAGAAGTTAATCTGCATCATACAGATACGTGACAGTGAAATTTCACGTTTTCCAAGGTATCTCTTTCCTTAAGATGGCTCACTGCTATCAGTCAGTGTAAAGAGCAAGTTATTGATAGCATTAACAGCCTCACCAGCCTTACCAGAAATGATACAAAATTTCCATGAAAATAATTTGGATGTACCAAAGTATGGAGAGAATATTGGATGACAGTTTTGTCCCTCCCCAGCCTTTAAGTATGACTCCTCAAGCTAACGTCCCTGATTTGTGCCTCATACTTAAACTCAACAGAGCAACATCAAGTTGACTTTGTCATTCCTCGCTACTTGGAATCATAATGTGTTGTCTAATGGTAAACACTGCTGCCATATGGCATCACGAAAATTGTGACCAAGTCCCAGGTTGCTGATCTGACTTTCTGCCTCATTTACACACAATTGCAGGGTCTCAATTGTTTCTCTTACTATTGACAACACAACATACATATATTTATCAACTCGTGCTTCTCCAGGTGATTTCGAATAGAGTTTGAAGTTATTGCTTCCAGTAATTTGCCTACAATAGTGATCTATTTTCCTTCTTGAAAATCGGTATTACATTTGCTATCCTCCAAGATTCTGATACTACACCAGTTTTTAAGGACATGTTAAGCAAATTTGCTAAGGTCATACTAAGCTCTTCCTTACATTCCTTTAATACTCTGGCAAATATCTCATCGGCATCCTGGCGACTTATTAGGCTTTAGCTTGTCTATTTGCTTACTAACATCGTTACTAGTCACTACTATGTCGCTTAATCTATGTATATAGTCGGTGCCTCTGGTATCATGTTTAAATTTTGGGTGGTGAAAACTGTTGAAATATATTTATTCAGATTTATGCTCATTTCTCCGTCGTTATCAGTTAGCTCGCCGGTATCTGGCTGTATTGGTCCAATCTCTTCTCGTGTTTTAATTTGATACATTTGATTCTTATCCCTTGGGGTTTAACTTCGCCTCCCTTGCAACCTTCACTTCATTATTCCCCTTTGCTTTTCTATTCTCGGTCTTAACCCTACTGGCCAATACCTTATAATAATTTCGGAGGTAAACTTCACCACGATTTATTCTTCTACCTATAGCCTTCCGTTGTCCAATAATATTCTTTAAATAATAATTTATCAATTTAGGGTCATTGTTGTCTGATCTGAGTTTTCTGTATGGTATGTTCTGCCTTTGTGCACTAAGTAACACATTATTCAAATTGTTGTGGAACTCGTCAACCTCAGACCTCAACTGTCATATTTTGTGAGGATATCGTTGACAGGTCTCCAGGCAAAGTGATGTCGCCCTCTGTGGGTACAATGTGTGGGGTCACCTCACGTGAGGTCATGTAATCCACCCCCAAACGTGATACCCCTTCTCTCAGCTGCCTTTTCAACCTATATCAAAGTTTGCCCTTCTGAAATCTGGGACTTAGTGGAATTTTCCTTGGGACTGCCATTAAATATTAATTGAAATCTTATTTCTTTGTGATCGTTGTTGGCAAGTTCGTTCTCTACCTCGACATTACTAATGAGGTTTTCTCTGTTTGACAGAACTAAATCTAGTATGAGATGAGATATTTGCCAGAGTATTAAAGGAATGTAAGGAAGAGCTTAGTATGCCCTTAGCAATGTTGTTTAACATGTCCTTAAAAACAGGTGTAGTACCAGAATCCTGGAGGATAGCGAATGTAATACCGATTATCAAGAAGGGGGATAGATCACTATCCTCTAACTACCGCCCAATCAGTCTAACATCAATAGTAGGCAAATTACTAGAAGCAGTCATTTCAAACTCTATTCGAAATCACCTGGAGAAGCACCGATTGATCAATGATTCCCAGCATGGCTTCACAAGCGGACGTTCGTGTCTAAACTAATCTATTAACATTCTTTTCATCAGTTTTCGAATCGGTGGACGAGGAGCACATTATAATGTGGTATATCTCGACTTTAGCAAAGCCTTCGACAGAGTCCCCCACGAAAGACTAATTAGAAAGGTAGAAGCACATGGCATCAACGGTAATATCCTTAGATGAATTAAGGCGTGGTTACAGGACAGGAAACAGCGAGTGAGCATTAACGGCACTAAGTCCCATTGGAGCAACGTCACTAGTGGAGTTCCCCAAGGCTCAGTATTTGGACCATTATTATTTATTATATACATAAACGACGTAGATATCGGCATAGACAGCAACATAAGTAAATTTGCTGATGACACTAAAATAGGACGTGTTATTAAATCTGGCGAGGACTCCGCAAAACTACAGGAAGATCTAAACAAATTTTTCGAATGGTCTGAAAAATGGCAGATGAAATTCAACGTGGACAAATGTAAAGTACTCATTATAGGAGATGTAAACAGGGAAACCAGATACCAGATGAACAACGATGCCATAGAGAAATCCGAAAGCGAGAGAGATTTAGGAGTAATGATAAGTAGGAACCTTAAGCCAAGTAAACAATGTGTTTTTGCTCGTAACAAGGCTAATAAAGTACTTGGGTTCATACAAAGGAGTGTTAGTTACAAGACTAGCGAGGTCATCCTAAAACTGTATCTTGGGCTTGTGAGACCACACCTGGATTACGCAGTTCAGTTCTGGTCACCGTATTACAGAATGGATATAGAATCCTTAGAAAGAATTCAGAGGAGAATGACAAGAATAATCCCGGGCATTAGGAACCTTGAGTATAGAGACAGGTTAAAGCATCTTAATTTGCACTTCCGCGAGAGACGAAGAGCGAGGGGCGACCTGATAGAGGTGTATAAATGGAAGTCAGGGCTAAACAAAGGGGACATTACAAAGGTACTCAAACTATCCAACCAGGAGCGAACTCGTAACAATTGTTTTAAATTAACCAAATTTAGATTTAGGCGCGAAATAGGTAAACACTGGTTTGGAAACAGTGGATGAATGGAACAAATTACCAAATATCATCATTAACTCGAATACGCTGAATAGCTTCAAACATAGGTTGGATGCTTATATGAGCAATAGGGGTTGTGTGTAAATGGGACTGCCCAGTATGGGTCAATAGGCCCGCTGCATTTTCCTCCATTCTTATGTTCTTATTTATATTATTACCCCTGTGGGTTTTGTCGTCAAGGATACATCTTTATTTTGCTTTTCCTTGCAGCTGAAAGCATCCAGTTTCTGGTAATATAATATGTATAGTAAACATACGCATTACCTGTTATGAGAGTGCATTTTTTAATTTATCCAAACGCAAATAATTTCAGTTGTACAATGGCTAAAACAGCACAAAAAAAAAGTATAGACATATTTCAGTGGCTTCTGTGTTTATCATTATATATATATATATATATATATATATATATATATATATATATATATATATATATATATATATATATATATATATATATATATATATATATATATATATATATATATATATATATATATTGTACATTTCTGTGCCATAAATTTTCCACATAAAAATGTGGTGTACTCATTTGGGGCGGGGGTACGGTTGAGAAATTGTTGAAAATGCAGTACAGTACTATAATAAAAATTGGTGGACTCTGGAGCAGGGATAACTAGCTTTTTTTTACAGAAAAGTAATTATCCTGCTCGGCTCCTCCTTTTTACTACGACACTGTGGGGTTTCGTGATGTTGAATCGCACATAGGATGGAGGTGAGCAGGGAAACGCAGCTATGGCGGTTTTTTTATATTAATATATTATATACAAAACAGTCTGGTGCTGGGAAGTTGCTGCGTGGTAGAGGAGCTGCTGTGCAGGAGTTTCTTAAGAGGTGTTGTGTGTTGCAGAGCTCTAGGTAGAATGGACTTCGGTCGGTCGGTGATACGGAGAGAAGAGAACATTAGCTCTGAAGGTGCAAGAAGGGTACAGTACAAGGTAAAGTTCAGAAGTGGGAAATAGAGGAGGAGGTTAACAGCAGGTGGGCTATCCACCTTGCAGAGACGGGGTTTTTGTCTTCCGTCAACAGTGCTGCATTAGAGGACTCATGCGGTTAGGGAAGGCCGGTCTCAGCCAAGCTGAGCTAAGTTGTTCTATTTGATGTTTCCTTGGGGCATATTATGATAGGTCCTTGTGGCACTGGAGGGATGATCCCCATCTTTTTCGTTTCTAGTTTTTTATTGTGGGTGTTTGTGAACTTTTTAGGTCTTTGTCTGTTTGTGGGGTCCCTCCAGGTCCTTGTGTGACTGGAGAGTTGTTTCCATCTTTTGGTTCTTTTTTAT